CATGACCTCTTCACCCCACTACACCACTTGGAGAGAGTACACTTGCACCACAACCCCTGGAACTGCAACTGTGACATCCTCTGGCTCAGTTGGTGGCTAAAGGAAATGGTGCCGGCCAATACCAGTTGCTGTGCACGCTGCGCGTCACCTACCAGCCACAAAGGGCGCTACATCGGCGAACTCGACCAGAACTATTTCCATTGTTATGCACCGGTGATTGTGGAGCCACCAGTGGACCTGAACGTGACTGAGGGCATGGCAGCAGAACTAAAATGTAGAGCGAATTCTTTGACCTCAGTCAGCTGGATCACGCCCAATGGGTCCCTCATGACGCACGGGGCCTACAAGATACGCATTTCCGTGCTCAATGATGGGACTTTAAACTTTACCAACGTCACAATGCAGGACACGGGAATGTACACTTGTATGGTGAGCAACTCTGCAGGCAACACGACAGCCTCGGCTACACTCAACGTGTCCTTGACAGAGAACAGCAGCTTCAGTTACTTCACTACAGTTACTGTGGAGACCACAGAAGCGACACATGATGAGGGCCACCCTACGGTACAGCAGAAGGGTGGCCCTACTCCTTCTTCTGGAATTTGGGAGACCTTACCACCTTCCTTCACCACCACCACCACCACAACCACAACAACAGCACGGACACAACTGTCCACCAAGGCCACCGACAAGACCTATACCATCCCTGTCACAGCCCTGATTGACGGCTCCCTTAACACCTTGGATGAGGTCATGAAGACCACAAAGATCATTATAGGTTGCTTTGTGGCCATCACCCTGATGGCGGCCGTCATGCTGATCATATTTTATAAAATGCGCAAACAGCATCACCAGCAGAACCACCACGCACCGACGCGAACCATCGAGATTATCAACGTGGACGAGGATTGTGTAACGGGTGGACCTACCATGGAGGGCCACCTCACCCTCCCCCCACTGGAGCATGAGCACGTGAATCACTACAACGCCTACAAGACTGCGTACAACCATGCCTCCACCATCAATTCTATACACAGCTCTGTCCACGAACCTTTACTAATTCGGGCCAGCTCAAAAGACAATGTACAAGAAACCCAGATCTGAACTGCTTTTCATAATGGGGATTAAACAAAGAAAAAAAAAAGACTTCTAAAACTCTTAAGGAACAGTAAGTGACATATCGATTTTGAAGATTGTCGAAAACAAAGACACAGTAGCCCGATGCAAGACGTATAAGAAGGATGTGGACAGGTAGACAAGGACATTGGGAGTTGAGTGTACGTCAACAGTTTCAAAAGTGTCTTTGCATAACAGAAGTTATTTATTTAAGGAAAATAACTATTGTGGTTTAATCAAGAAAAGATGTAATCTGCAATTATTTTTCCAGCAATTATTTCTCCATGTTTTTAATGTTATTTTAAGGGGTGTTGGTTTACTAATATGCTTTTAAACTCTGTTTAAATCTATTGCTCTGTATGTGAGGACCCACGTCATTTGCAGATTAATCTGAAACTTTCCATCTTTCTGAAATCTCAAGATTCACATTTAATGGTGATACTTTTAAAATCTTAGGTTACAGACTGTCATATTAGAAAACGTCCACACCATAATTGTTTAAATTGATCATGTTAATTCTAAATTTGGCAATATCACATTGTTTAGTTATCCTTGGTGAAAAATAGGCTTTTTAAATCATATTAGGCAGGTTTGCTGGTCGTAGTTGGCCTCCCAGCCTGGTCAGGTCTGTTGGCTGATTTTAGAGTGGTTTTGGGCACTTTAACTGGAAAGGCTGGAAGACGAGCTTAGAACAGCTAGTTTTTTCAACAGGGATGGCTGCTACAAATTAGATGCAGATGTATACATGGCTTCTCCACCCTCAAATTTAGAACAAGGAGCCCTGGAAACGTGTCCCCATTTAAAACCGGGCCAAATGTCAGGAACACTTGTCTATTTGATGCATGCAGGGCAATTTCAAATAATTTCTGTGCTTGGACCAGAAGATTTATGGATTAAGTTAGCATTTTGGGATGGCCCACATGCTCTTAAATACATGTTGAGGTATTTTTTGAGGATTACATCTCAAGTTCTTAAAACTGTTTTTTTTTCCCTTTCTTTTTCTGCATTTTTATTTTCATATAACATAACATTGTGTGTTCCTGTGGCATTTCATCCTTGATACCGTACTAAAGTTTCCCAATGCTCATACACAGATGCAACACACTCATTCTATGTCAAATTCTATAGGGGCAAGGGGGCTGAAGATTGTAGGCCTTTATTTGAAGGCTGACAGAGTGGAAATGTGGCGAAAGCATAGAGCTGGTACTGACGTAGCAACATTTCCATTTCAACGCATTTGTCTTGGTGCTCACCATGGATACAGTTGAATGAATTCATTCTGGAATGGTCTAAAAGCCGGGCATTGAACCCTAAATAAGTGGGCAAAGTCAGTGCAGCTCAGATCTAAAGCTTCCAAAGATGCCACAGATGTGTCTTTATAGATTGTGAACCGATTGTGTTTTTTTCCCCTCTCACTATTTCTCCTTTTTTTTCTGGAATTCTTTCATATTCTATCTTCCATCATTCTGCACTGCCAATCTTTTTAGGCAGTTATGCAATTCTTTTTAAACTTTTAAATCATATTCAGTCACTTTAGTTTATTTTCGTTACAGACTGAGGATGATACATCCATCTTCGGCTTTACACACGCAGTAGCCTTTGGCTGCAGGGGGAATGACTTGGCATTATGAATTAATTTATGAAATCAGAATGGACGGAGACGGTCACTATAGCAACCAATGACCTTGGACAGGTTGGGAGGTGCCGGGGCAGGGGGTAGACGATAGACACTGGCTTGACGCTTTAAATGTATTCAGAGTCAAATGGGAGAGCGAGGCTGGGTGAAAGAGCCAAAGTGGACTCATTTGAAGTGCATCATTTAAAATGTAAAGCAATCTAGAGGTCTATAGGTAATATGAATTAAGCCAATAAGCCTGTGACATTTTATTCAGATTCGTAGCATTTCGTTTTGGCCGTTCATAGTTCATGCAAAGCACACAGGAGACTGACAAGGAGATTTGTCTCTTGCATTTCTGCTCTTAATACAGATGCCGACTGATACCATGTGGCATTTGGTGAACTTTTCCGTATCATATTTTGATCACACACCAGATGCACTCTAATTTTTAAAGATCTGATGCAATTATGCTTGTCAGCTTTGCTATCTCAGATCATTACGAAAAAGTTTTTGAGCGTACCTCCTGCCCACTAGAAGCAAAGGCCATCTGGTACATTTTCTATTCAAGATATCAAAGCGTGCAAAAAAAAGACTGTTCTTCATCTGAATATGCTGCTCTTTCGAATTTTAATTCATTTCCTTGTACTTCTGAATTTAATTTGCATTGTCACTGAAATTGATGTCAATCTCAACATAAAGTGAATTTTTTTTTTTTATCATCAATGGAGTTTAGCACAAAAGTAAACCAAGTCATTGGGTTTTCAGTTGCATTTTATTTATTATAAGAACTTGAATCATTGACTTAAATTGTCATAATTTTTGGAAAAGGTCTTTGTCGTTTTTTATAATATTATCAATTTGTATTATAATTTTTGTTATTTTTCAACTTATTGTGATTTTTTTTCTGTATGTTTGTTCAGTCCCATCATGCATCTGTGTTTTGGGTTTCCGTTTAAGAGTGAACGAGATGCTTTTCTCTCCGTTTCACGTAACTTCTTTCTTTTCGTCTCTGAGAGGGAATGCTGTTCTAGTGGTAGATTTCTATAAAAATAAATTTTGAAAAGAAAAAGATAAAAACAAAAAACAAAACAAAAACTTTTTAAATTTTAATTTTACATGTGCCAACCTGTTCTAAAAAAAAAAAGAGAGAGAGCGCGAGATATGCTGTAAAAGACAACTGGATTGATTTTCATGTAAACATTATTTCATGACCTTTAAAAAAAAGATGGAGATCGATTATAGAAATCAGAGTTTGTAGTTCATACACAAGATAAGGTTACAAATAAACTATCATTGTCTTTTATCGTCTCATTAGTTTTCTTTCACTAAGGTTTATTGTGTCAAAATGAGATGTCTTAAGCAAAATAGTTTGTAATGATAACTGTCAATATTAATAACACTGTCTTGTATTTTATATTACACACTTCAGCTTTGGAAAAAACATATTTGTGTATGTTTTAGTGCTTCGAAACAACATCATCTTGCTGTGCATGAATGGATGTTTTTCATTGACAGGCCGTATTTAGTGTGTGACTGGCTCCACCAGTTGTTTTTAGTTTTAGACAGTATTAGAAATGGGTGAATTGAGAAAAGACAGATGAAATGTTTCCTCCTAGCTGATCTAAAGCAGCTGGACGTAGCGCATGTTGCAGTATGAATACATTACACTGGCTGCCTCATTGTGTTCGTCGATGAGCACAGCAGTGCTGTTTTCCAGTGCTGTGCTTGGAGACAAATACCTGAGAGATGAAGCTCTACTCATTTTACTTGTGCCTGACTGTTTTAATGAATATAATTGCAATATTTAAGAGGAGAGAAAGAACATCTGTTTGGATTAACATCAAAAAGAGATTTGTGTGTTTTACCTTGTTTTTTTCCCAGCAGATTTTGACTCGTATATTTATTTTAGCAGTATTTTATTACAGTATTTATCAATAATTTATCAACAACATTAGCAATGTTGCAATAGCAAGTAAACTAGAGTAGCACAAAAGCTTGAATGTAAGTTTAAAGCAGCACTATGTAACTTTTGGCACTCTAGCGGTTAATAAACAGAACTGCACACATCCCGCGGAAGAACATTCCAACCGGAGCTACTTCTCTAAGTTTATGTCTCTGGCGATTCACGCAGGTATGTGTTACTCCGCAGCGGTGACGACCCGACCAGGCTACAATAGTCCAAATATAAGTACTTATTATAAGTGTACCGTAGTGATTCGGAATAAGACAAAAACGCGGTTTGGAAGATTAATTCATGATGTACTTGCTCATTATATACATTTTGCTAATTTTGAACACAGAAAAAGTTACATAGTGCTGCATTAATGCAGAGTAGAGACGATTATTTTTATTGTAAAAGGAATCTTTTGGATATGGCTTTGGGCCTGTATTTTGCAGCCCTTTTTGAGGCCCGTGTTGCTTGTTTCCTGCTTCACATTGTTCATTTCCTGATGAACTGTCCTGTGGCCGTCAGTTTAAGACTAATTATGGAGCAGAAGGCCAGTTCACAGTGGTTTGCTCCTGGAATGCTGACTGACCCACAAAGCAACAGAAATTATTGTTTGTTTTGTGTATTTTTTTTGGGGGGGGGGGCTACTGCCAACCCATAGTAGCAAAATGTCTCTGTTTCTACCATTAATACTTGTTAACTTAGCCTTTTGCTGCATTTTAGTAAAGTAAGCAAAATCACTGTTTAGTTTGAATACGAATGTTTGTGTTTAATTCTTGAATATTCTTCAAAATTATGCTTTTGTGTTCCACAGAAGAAAGAAGGTAATTCGCATTTGGAACATCGTGAGGGTGAGTACATTTATAGGCTTAAAAAAAAAAAAAAAAAAAAAAAAGATGTTTTGGACAGTTTCTTACTTAATCATTATTCCCCGGGTTGTTGTTCAGCTCAAAGGTTTATTGACTCTAGCAAAGGACTGACACATTTGCGCATTCAAATCTTTGGATTTCATTAACAATGTCGAGCGGCAGCTGAGAGCAAAGCCATGTTTGCGAAGACAACAGGCGCGTTCACTCAGAGCTGCACAATTCACTTGGCAGCAATTAACCGCGCGTTTTTGTTTTGATTCAAATTTGCTGTGCGCCCTTTGTAGTCCTGCGTACTTTGCATGTTATTGTTTTGCGAACACTTCCCTCGAGTTTTCTGTCTCTCTTGCTCGGTATTAGCCCTGTCTGTGAAATTCAGCACTGCATCTCCCTATTGTGTCCTGAACACAACTTTATGCTGAATAGCTGCATTGAAAGAAAACAAAGAAAAAAAAAAGAGGAAAACGGATGTCCCCCGATACCTCTCATGGAAAATGTCTGTTTGTATTTTCTCAAAGTGGTTTAAAAACGCTCCAGGGAGCGAACAGCTTACAGTAGCGCTTGGAAAACCTGAGTCTGTGGGTCACAGTTATGTATGTGTGCCGATTGAAGAAGGACACATATGTCCAGGCAAAATGAGCAACATTTGGCCCCTACAGCCTATGACCAAATCACCAGCATGCCCTTGTCAGCCT